ATAAAATGTTAGAAAATAGTTTTTGAAAGCCCCTGTGTGAAAGCCATTGTGCAAAAAACATATGCAAGAAATAGTCATAATATGAACAGTCCAGTGCACCAGAAAAAATGTGAAAAAAATTAAAAAGTTCAATACTATAAAGGATCCTCCACTTCCAAACAGATTTCTGTGATTATGTTAGAAGATCAAGAAGTGACACCACCTGGTGCCTCACACAGACATCCGCTTTAAGGCCTCATGTACACGGGGCGTTTGGAAAACTCTTCTGGAAACTGACTGCTAGAAAACGTAGGTTAAAAAACATCAGTTTAACGGCGTTTGCATACCGAGCTTATGTGCGTTTGCGTTTAGAAGTGTTTTTAAAAGATAACCTCGGGAGACCCAAATGCCCAGAATGCACTGAAACATAGTAAATATTTAACTATTTCAGACATTTTCAGAGAAATAGAGAGAGCAGAAGCAGAGAGATCAGTATGTGTTCAGAAGACCTGTCTTTTCTGGTTGTATTCACTATGGATTCCATCATGAGCATAATGCAGCACGTTCTACCATTTTTTCCTTCACGCGAAACCTGGAATTGACTGCACTGGTGTACCGGGTCTATTTGAATACATGGAAAACATTTTGCATTTTTGATGAAGAAAAAAGGCTTTGGACAGCATATGGACCTGTCAATAAACACGTCTAAGCGCAAACGCTTGTAAACGCGGTTAACCACGTATACAAGCATTTGGTGTTTGACACGCCGGTAAAATCTACTCCTGAACGCAATTTTGGTGCGTTCAAGAAAATGACTGTAAACTCAACTGTCTGTAAACTACTGTAAACGATTATGTGTACATGGACACATAGGAAAACATAGAGGAGAGTTCAGGGGCTGATGAAAAAAACACTCAACAGCTCCTGAACATCAGTTTAGCAGGGGCAGTGTACATGAGCCATAAAGGATTACCAGATAACTTGTAACTCTTCTAGTCACGCCCAACCGGAAGTTGTGACGTCACCACGCATGCGCGCAAGTTAAACAGCATCCTGGTTATTGTAGTCACAGTGTTGCAGTACACAGTACTGTGTACCGTTTACTGGTGTTTTTAACTTGAATAAACTACACCTCCGGATTTTATGATATGGGAGCGTGGCGCTCTTTCTTTTTCTTCCCCTGAGCTTCTGTTTGCCTATGCAAGCCTGAATGAGGTGAAACTGGAGATATATGAAGTCTGATATATGGAGGTCTCCACACACATGTACAAGTGCCTTTTGACTCTTTTCCATATTAAAAGTCACACATCATTTGGTAAACCTTTAAAGTGGATGTCTACAGTATGTGAGGCATGAGGTTGTTCCTTTCCTTGATCTTCTGACATAGTCACAGAAATCTGTTTGGAAGAGGTGGATCCTTCATGGTGTTGAACTTTTTCATTTTAATTCTATATTTTTGGTGCACTGGACTGTTCCACTTATAATTATATGTTTTTTTGCACAGTGGTCTTACACAGTGGTTTTCAAGCACTATTTCCTAAACTATTTTTTTCATATGTTTTTAAATATTTATTGAACATGCTCTGATATGGGATATGATATTGTATAAGTGCTGCACTTTCTACTTTTTTTTTATTTATTGTTTGTGTATATCCTGCACATTTTTTGCTGCTGCTCATATTGTCAGCATTTGCTCTGTAATTTTTGATTTATTATATTGACTCTTGAAATGATTGACTCTCACAAGGCCTCATTCACATGAGCGTACTACAGTGTACATCCATGCAAGAGCCATGTTTGCTCGCGTGGGGACGCACAGGTGTTCTATGCATTCCTGTACCAGCAGTCCCGTTCATGTCAACTGGGACACAGCGGCCGCTCCCAGTTTGACAGCCAAGCGGGTGTGTGGCCCCGAACGCACACTGCCTGCCTTTGAGGATGTGCATCTGCATGGATGCATGGGAGCAGCAACTTCATTTCCGTGAAGTCGCTGCATTACAATTGACATGAATGGGATTGTTGGCACAGGGATGCTCGGAACACCTGTGCATCTCCACACAGGTAAAAATGGTCCATGCATGGGTGTACGCTGTAGTATGCTCGTATGAACGATACATAATTCTGCCATACAGAGAAAAGCTATGCACTGCGTTATAAGTTGTCCCTTATTTCTGATAGAAAAACCTGCAACTATTCAGTAAAAAAATCACAAATCCTTGTGATTCACTGTGAACCCATGGTAGGAGGAGGAGAATGGAGGGGAAACTCAAACCTCATCCTTAGGCCCCATGTACACGGGACACTTCTGAATAATGCAAACTGACTGCTGGGAAATGTAGGTTAAAAACGTCTGTTTAGCTGCGTTTGCATAACAAGTTTATGTGTGTTTGCATTTAGAAGTGTTTTTTAAAGATAAGCACTGGAGAACCTCCCAAATGCCCAGAATGCACTGAAAAGTGGTAAATTATTAACTATTTCAGACTGTTTCAGAGAAATACAGAGAGTAGAAGCAGAGACAGCAGTATGTGTTGAGATAATTAGGTGTGAGTTGCTCATTAACATTTCTTTTGTTTCCAAGGGTGGGAACGGTGTCTAGTGGAGTGAGTCATTAAGGTCACCTGGCAGGGGGCCTTCATGAGGAATTTGAGGTGTGAATGGTCATTAACATATCTTTTGTTTCCAAGGGTGAGAGAGGTCTGAGGTGTGATTTGGTCATTACAATGTATGACAAGCTTGGTAGGAACATCCTGTGTTCAGTGTTTTGTCTCCGAGTACCTTGAAAACACTTTGCATGCATTTTCCATGATAAAAAAAGGCTCTGGACAGCATCGGGAACAGGAAGAGTTAAAAAAAAGTTTGGGATTTTCCGCGTTTACAAGCGTTTTGCGTTTGAAACGTTGATAAAATCGACTGCTGAACGCAAGTTTTCTGTGTTTAAAAAACGACTGTAAACACAAATGCCTGTAAATGACTGTAAACAAAGATGTGTACATGGACACATAGGAAAACATTAGGGTGAGTTCAGGGGCTGCTGAAAAAAATGCTGAACAGTTCCTAAACGTGAGTTTATCAGCTGCAGTGTACATGGGTTCTTAGAAGCAAGTGAAAATCAGGACACTGACAGTGATAAAAAAATCTGTTCACACCTTTTCCAGCTCTACCCAAAACTAAAAATTATTTTTGCCATGAATGGAGCTTTATACAGTTTTACTGAAGAAAAACGGATTTGCTTTTGTTAAAGAAAACCTGTACTAAGGGAAATAATAGGGCTACCATTGCTGGCCGCCTTGAGAAAATTCTGCTTCTTGGAAATCTCATGTTTCAATGCTTTCTGAGTCATTGACACACATATAGGCAGCAAGTCGAGAGAAACAACTCAACTGCATATTTGTTAAGTATTAGTAATTCCCAGACTATGAAAGCTATTGGATCAGCAGGAAGTAATGTTAGGTGTGTTTGGTGGCGCTGGATGGAAAGGAACATACTGTAGGTTTTTAGGTTGTTCTGCTGTATAGAGCTTGTGATTTCCTTTTTCGGGCTGCCTAGCTTGTGAAGGAAACAAGCAGCCGTCAGCAGACATAACTATGTAATATATTTATTGGCTGAATAAATGTATTTATCGGAATTAAAAGCGAGGAGCTTATAGGCACCCCCCCTTCTTTAGGCCACATGGTAACATGATATCAAATATCAATCAATATAAATAAGTAAATAGGGGTCTACTCAATCTAAAGTCAATTTCCTTGTTGACACTAGATCGAAGAATATTTGTTTACTCCTTCGTGAGCCTTGAAGTGATATTAAAGGCATTTTAAAAAAAAAATAACAAAACATGTCATGCTTACCTGCTCTGCGCAGTGATTCTGCACAGAGCAACCTCAATCCTCCTTTCTCCGGTCCCCCGCCGATGCTCCTGACCCTGCTCCTCCCAAGTGCCCCCCCCCGAGCAAGCAGCTTGCTTTGGGGGCACCCAATCACTCCCGAGCTGCTCTCTGTATGTTCATTCACACAAAGAGCCGCGGCTTGGCCCCCCTCTCTCTCCCCATTGGCTCACTGGCTGTGATTGACAGCAGCGGGAGCCAAAGACTCCCACTGTGGTCTCAGCCAATGAGCGAAGAGTCCCGGGAGACCCGAGGCTCTTGTGCACATCTCTGGAACGCGATGGGGATCAGGTAAGTATTAGAGGGGCTAGGAGTGCTGCTGCACACAGAAGGATTTTTACCTTCATGCATAGAAAGCAGGAGTGAACCTGTCAGGGACCATCGCGATGCATGGGTCTGCACATGCGTAGGTGTCTGTCAAGACATGCAGGCATCAGGGCACTAGGACCCAGGCGCACCCATCGCCTATGCTGGGCAGGCACTAGGACCTAGGCTGCGCCTGTCAGGTGCAGGGCGGGCTACTTAAACCAGCCCTGCACAGACACAAGTTGCCGTATGGTCTGATCTGGTTCCTGTGTTCTTGTGTTCCCGTTGTTTGAGATTCGTTGCTGACCTGCCTGGACCTGACCCCTGCTGACTTCTCCTGCTCTGACACCTGGCTAAGTTTGACCTCTCTTTTTGGATATCCCTACCTGATCTGAACTACTGGTACCGACCCCAGCGAGTGACCTGACTATTCTTCTGCCTGCTGCCTTGTACTACGCTGACCCCTCTGTTACCGACCTGGCCCGTTTGACCACGCTATTGCTCAGCCATCCATCCGACCCGCACGGATTAGCTGCTACTCTGCAGACCTGTCTGCCTCTTCACGTCAGGCTCTCTATCTGTCATTACCTCTGGTGATTCCTCTACCTCAGGTGGGTGTACTCAGGGGCCGCGACCTGGTCACTGTCCACTCCAAGCCCATCCCCACCATCAGGGGCTCCGGTGAACAAGCAAACTGGGGCTTAGACTCTGCACCCTGGGGAATCCTGTCCCGGGGACTGCTAGAGTACACCAGGTGGTCCATAACAGAACCCACAAAAAGAGGCTTTCTATGGGGGGCACTCGGTGAAGGGGAGGAGCCAGGAACGCCAATAGAAGACCCAAGAAGGAAAGGTTCAGGGCCGCTCTGTGCTATTCTATTGCACAGAGCAATTAACTAAATGTAAATCTGTTTGTTATATATATAAAAAAAATAAGCATTTACAAAAAACAATCTTATGTAAAAGTAGTTATTAAATCTATAACTCTCAAGCTGAACTCTGGGATAAATATCATCTAAATACAAGTATCACCTGTATTCTTCCTTAAATATTTGTGTGCTTTGTGTATTTCTTCCAGATCTGTGCAGTAATCCAGTGTGACACTTTACCTTTGTACAGCAGTTTCCTCTACCAAAGACCGGTCACTGCAGTTCTCTCTCCCTTTGCAAGAGGATTGGTCTTGTCCCCCGCCCCCTGTAGTTTTCTGTAGGCAGCTTGTAATAAGAGGACCTGCTGGGCCCCTCCCACAGCTCTGCTCTCTGCACAGACTGTGTGCAGCACAGTGATGATGTCACTGCTACGTTTACAAGGTAATATTTGGGGCTGTAACTGCATTTGGAGCTTACAAGTAGATGTGAAAGCTTCAATTCCTTTTGGTAGGACCAAAGGTTGGATCTCTCTCACTTACAGTATCTCTAGTTTCTTCCTAATGGCCAGTGAGGCTATTCATAGCCCATTGGGAGAAAAGAGAGGTAGGAGGGGGCAGGTCAGCCAGGAACAAAGCTTGCAGATTAGCGCCCCTGGTTTATTGGGGTATTGTGGCACTTTCTGAAGACGGGTGCTAAATGCATGTGCATTTTTAAAATTTAATTTGCTTAAGTTTTACGTTCCCATGATCCTTACCCCCCTCCCCCCTCATCAAAATGCTCATTCAAATAGTAACTAAAACTTTTCTGTTTTCATTACATACCTTATTTTAGACCTAGTGACATCACTAGCCCTTTGTGCCTCCTTAAAAGAGAAATACAGGATTTTTGTGTTTTTTTTCCAAATCATACCTACCATTGGTCTGATGCTGCATCTGTCCCCTGCCAGCTCTAAGTGTGAGAACTCAGTGATCACATGACCACTGACAGTTGAGATCTCACAGCTGCTCTGCCCGCCCCTTGCGCTCAGTGGAGTGCTGGGCTGTTGAGGGGGATGGGGAGGGAGTGGCTGGCTCAGGCTCTCAGCGGCTTACTGAGAGGCTGAGCCAGGTACCGCTCCAGAGTCTGGGGTGGATCCTGTCTTTAAAGTTGGGATCTTTCCCCAGCCTGGACCAGCTGGGTGACGTCAGCCAACAGTGGGCTTCACCCCCTGTCAGCTGGAAATAGGTCACAGGAGTGCAGAACGAATTGCACTCCTGTGATCCACAGGAGTACAGCCAAAAGAGCTTTGGCTGTACGTCTCCTTGAACCAATGCAGGCAAATCATGGCTGGTGGAATGAACTGGCAGAGTGCTGCACACAGCTTCCACAAAAGAAGAAGAAGCTATGGTAATGCCCATATGTGATGCTGAGCCTCCATTATTGAAATAACTGAAAACCAATAAACGAAAGGGATGGGCCAGGAACAGTAAGGTTTGAGGGAAAGAGCTAGATGACGCTGGATGCCCTGCAGCCAGGAGTTGAAGCAGGTTCTCTTTGAGTTGTTGCAGCTTATAATGCCCACTGTGAGAAGCTACCAGTGTGCCTTGAAACCAGAGTAGGCAATTTCAGTGCTGGAGAGGAGCCTGTACAATTCTGTAAGACAGAAGGTAAGGCCGGAGTTCAGCTTTAATAGAATGGTTTCTCCAATTAAATCAAATGATCTAGGTATAATAATAATGGTATAAGACAGTGTTTCTCAACCTTTTTTCTAGTCAAGGCACCCTCTAAAATTATGGGCAGTCCCAAGGTACCCCATTATAAAATGTAAAAAAACTATTCTAATAGTTTTATATAACGCAGCAACATCTACACATGTAGGACATCCAACATTAGAGGTGATTTATTCTTCCAAAGCAAATACACGTTTGCACACCGGTACTGACTAGTAACCAATGTTTCCCTTCTCCCTCAGTTTTTCTCTATCACTGAGCTGAAGTGACTCCAGCACTGACAGAGAGGGGCAGGGGAGGGTCAAACAAGGATGCTGTGCAGGCAACTGACATCCTCCTTATCAACTGATGTCATTGGTTGTCAGGACCAGGGGCGGACTGACAACTCATGGGGCCCCTGGGCAATAGGGGATCATGGGGCCCCTGTGTCCTCGTCCACACTCAAACCACACCCAAAAAAGCCTATGAAAGGTACCAGGGGCATCTTATGGGGCCCCCTACTGACCCTGGGCCCTCGGGCAGTTTCCAAATGGTCAATCCGCCCCTGGTTAGGACGCTGGCAGCTAGAAGGTCAAAACTGTGCATGCTGAAAACCTGTGGCTTTGTGTAAGTAAAAGGCAGGCTTTTATACAAGATTTGTACAATTTTTAGACATTTTGCCAAGGCACCCCTGTAGAAACATCAAGGCGCCTGGGCACCCTGTTTGAAAAAGGCTGGTATAAATGAAGAGAGTAAGGGGGTTACAAGTGCCTCAAATCTCCCTGTAAGTCAGTCACCTTGTTTAAAAGGCCCAGAAATCTAACACTTAAAATTGAACAATACATTGTTGTATGAAAATAGTCCATATACAGTGTGCACACACACAGAAAATGAAAAATGCAACATGTTATTACAATTTGCTGTTTCATAACCCATTAAAATGCTTGGAATTGGCAGTCTGCAGTGATACCCTGTGGGGTCTTGTTAGCCAGCATAGCTCCCCAGTATGTCACCTCTAACTGATTTCTATTAATTCCTATTCTAAGCTGTTTACATATTATCTATAAATGTTTCTTAAATCGGCCCTTAAAATTAATATATTTAAATACAAAAAGAAGCCTAATGTGCTTGTATGTAGATATGACAGTTAATGTAAAAACCAAACATAACTGTACTGAATATATATCTATAGGGCATTGTTATAAAGTAGTCATTTTTCAGCTGAATGCCCATTAGAAAATATATTTTTTCTAACATATCCACCATATCCACCTGATCAAGTCATATTTGCAACCCTAACCAATGTCTAGACTTCCCATTTTTTAAATCAAGCTCTTAATATCATTCACCATCTATATATTCATTAATATAATTGCTGGAACTGATTGTTGTTCTCAGTTTAATTTTTTTTACAAAGATTAAATATGAATTCCATTATAGAGCTACATTGGTCCAGATTGACATCACTGCCCCGTCTTTCCACCTTGTCCAATCAGAGAACACTTTCCATTCATTAAGAAAAAGCAAAGCATTCTCTGAATGGTGCCTGTGCAGACAGCTGCTTGGCATGGGACCTAGAAGCAAGTGGAGATCACTGGAACTGCCATGTTCTACAGTAATTTCCAGCTATTAGTGCAGGCATCATGGCAGCACAGTAGCTAAATGGTTAGCACTTTTACGCAGCAGCACTATGGTTGTTGGTTAAATCCCAACCACGACACTATCTGACTGGAGTTTGCAGGTTCTCCCTGTGCCTGTGTGGGTTTCCTCCCACACTCCAAAGACATGCTGGTAGATTAATCGGCCTTAGTATGTGTATGAATGTGAGTTAGGGACCTTAGATTGCAAGCTCCTTGAGGGTTAGGGGCTGATGTAAATGTACAATATATACAGTATATGTACAGTATGTGTGAAGCACTGTGTAAATTGACAGTGCTGTATAAGTACCTGTAATAATAATCACTAAATTGTGGTCCTGCCTCAAACCAACCAATCACTGCTCGTTAACTTGAAATGTAGGACTCCGACTGTCACTCTGCTGTGAAGTGCACACTGTCATTTTCACAGAAGACGGGAACTGACTGGTCTGGATAGAGAGCGGGACCAGCCCCATTTTTCTAGTTAACTAGCGGTGATTGGTTGGTACGAAGCAGGGTGGTCCTACCAACCAATCAACCGCTATCTCCCTTGCTCCACTTAGACCTTCACACCTCCCGCCCCCTGTCCTGCTGTGTAGGTAGGACTGGGTGTAATGTAAAGATATAAAGGAGCCTACTTCCTGACCCTCATCAAGGCCCTCTCCTCCAATCCTCGTCGACTCTTCTCCACCTTCAACTCTCTACTCTCGCCACCCCCACCTCCACCCAGCACCTCACTCACTGCCCTTGAGATTGCCATCACTTCAAAAACAAGATTGACACAATTCGCAAGGACATTGCCACAACTCACACGCCTTCTCAACCCGTCCCCTCTCACACAGCTATCCCCTCATCCCCCCTCTCCCTCGACATAACCCGCAGGGACTTCGTTGCTGCTCAAACTCCCTCCAACCCCGTTCCCCCTCACTCAGCTACCCCCTCATCACCCCTCTCCCACGGCCCCACCGCTGCTCTGACCTCCACTTCCACCCCACCCTACATTCCTCATACTGAAGCCCCCCCAACACTCCGCACCTTTGACCTTACTACCATCGAGGAAGTCCCCAAGATCCTCTCTGATGCCCGCCTCACCACCTGCCCCCTCGACCCTATCCCCTTACAATTCCTACGACCTCCCTCCCCCTCCATCCTACACTCCCTCACCCACATCTTTAATCTCTCCCTCTCCTCCGGCACTTTCCCCTCCCCTCTGAAACATGCACACATCACCCCCATACGTAAAAAGCCCTCCCTGGACCCCAATGACTCGAACAACCTATCAGACATATCAGACTGGATGTCGCTCCACTTCCTTAAACTGAACCTCTCCAAAACCGAGTTTCTTGTCTTCCCCCCCCAGCCCGGACACCACCCCCCCATTGACTTCTCCATCACATCCAACAACGCCACCATCAAACCCACCCCGCAGGCCAGAGTACTTGGTGTCATTCTGGACTCCAACCTATACTTCTAGCCCCAAGTCCAATCTTTAACAAGCTCGTGCAGACTCCACCTCTGCAACATCGCCAAAATACGCACGTTCCTAACCCCAGAAACCACTAAACAGCTCATCCACTCCCTCATCATATCACGACTGGACTACTGCAACTCCCTCCTTACTGGCCTGCCTCGCCGCTGGCTATCCCCGCTTCAGTCGATCCTGAATACAGCTGCCAGACTCATTCACCTTTCCAACCGCTCCATTTCTGCCACCCCCCTCTGCCAATCCCTCCACTGGCTTCCGATTGCGCAACGGATCAAATTCAAAATCCTAACACTGACGTACAAAGCCGTTCACCATACTA